TTTTTTTTTTTTAAACACAAAGTTGTCGCTTTAATGTTATATTGCTCATGCATGCCATGGGTATTTGTGGAATAACACCCAAAAACACATTCTTCTACTTCTCCCAAGTATGGGGATACCACATGTGAGAGACTTTTTGGCAGCCTAGCTACATAGCTACATACAAGCCTCCAAAATCCAATGGCCACCTCCAGGCTTTCAAAGGGCATATTTCCTCATATCACTTCCCCACTACCGATCACAGTTTCGGAGGCTCTAAAATGCCAGGATAGTACAAACACCCCTTCCCAAAAGACCCCTTCTTGGAAAGCAGACACCCCAAGTAATTTGATAAGAGTATTTTACAATATCATTTTTGTCACAGGGTTTTTAAAAAAATATAAAAAATAAAAATTTTTTCCTTTCTTCATTTTCCAAAAACATGTAGCAACAAATTAGATCTGTAAAACACTCACCATGCCTCTTAGCAAATACCTTGGAGTGTCTACTTTCCAAAAAGGGGTCATTTGGAGGGGTTGCTTCTACTATCCTGGCATTTCAGGGCCAAAATTAGAAGCTTATGCCACACATCACCCACTCTTGAAGACCAAGCCTTTTCTGGCACTTTTTGTTCACATTAAAAAAACTGTTCTTTTGCTAGAAAATTACTTTGAACCCCTAAAACATTATATGTTTTTTTTTTTAAGTAGAGGCCCTAGAGAATAAAACGGCAGGTGTTGAAATTGTTTATGTCACACAGTATTTGCGCAGCAATTTTTCAAATGCAACTCTTTTGAGAAACATACACTTTTTAGAATTTGAATGCACAAAAACACAATATATTGCCCAATTGATAAAATATAAAAGATGATGTTATGCTGAGTAAATAGATACCAAACCTGACATGCTTTAAATATGTGCATGCCCATGCAATGGCAACAAAGTACATACGTTTTTATTATCGATAGGCGATGCTTTAAAAGACATTACAGGTCACCAATTTATATTTACCCATTAGGCTTAGTGCTAGAATTACTGCCCTCGATCTGACGCTTGCGCGATACCTCACATGCATGGAGCAACTACTGTTTACATACTGGCATGGGGTCATTGCTTGTGCGAGCAGGGGGGAAAGGGTGCTCTCTTTTTTTTTTTTTTTTTATAGTTATTTATTATTTTTAGTGCCCCTTTCATTATTTTTTTTAATCACTTTTAATGCTAATCACAGGGAATGCAAATATCCCCTATAACGTCAATGGGCATTGTCATATATTCTTTTTTCAGAAATCTGGGGTCTATCAGACGGTAGATATCTCCTATGACCTCACATTATCTAATCTCACCAAGATTGGTGTGTGATCAGATGCTATCCCAATTTACAAATGGTGCTTTTTATATCCTGTGAAACTGAAGTGATGAAATGCTCGTAGCTTCCGATCTCTTAGATTATAGAGATGATTGGAGCCATTCTGGTATCTGACCCGCTCTGTGGTCAGCCAGCGGAACTGCCGTCTGCATTCTTGGATTCCCCCATGGAAGAAAAATGTGGAAGGCAGCAAAAAGAGGGGGGGGGGGGGGGGGGGGTGGAGAGGAAATGGCCCTACCCACTGCTCGTAAAAACAATTCAGTACCCAATTGGCCAATAGGATTGTTTTTACATGACAGCCGACCACCAGCTGAAAAAAACAATACCAGGATGCCTGTAGCTGCAGGCATCATCCCGTTATAAACACTCAAAGTCCAGCGACGTACCAGTACATTGCTAGTCCATGTTGGGCATATATGTAACAGCAGAGAACACGCGCATACGATAAATTGGCTGAGGATCAACATGACTGCAATTCATTCTTTTCTGTAATGCCCATGTTGAGGGTTAGGCCCAAAAGAGTTTTAAATTCAGAAACCGTGATAGGTTTCCATGTGTACTGTCTGGCAAGAGCTGAACTTTGGTAGGCAGCCATGTATTGTTGTGCGTATAAATTGCCTTGGCCCACAATCGATACAAATCTTCCATGAAAAATAGCGGAGGGGCTAAAAGCTAGTGCTGGTAATGAACGGGGCTGATCCTGCTAACTCTGCGTTTTTGTGGTCACTATACAAAGGAGGCACTAGTATAGTTCTGTTCATTATCAATATATTGATCCGTACAAACACTAAACTAGGAATGGCAGTGATCAGCGACCTATAGCGTGAGTGCGATAGTGTGCAGGCAATCTAATGCTAGCTGACCCTGGCTGGGAGGGACACTTACTGACCCTGACGCTATCTGATGTTGTTAGTGGCAGGAATACAGTGATCAGCGAAAAATTCTATATACCGACACTGTACTAATGGCACTGGCTGGGTGACGGGGTGATCAAAGGGTTAATAGGGGCGATCAAAGGGTTAAATGTGCTAATCTAACTCATGCGTGTAAAATGTAGTGGTGCTTTTACTCGGAGCAGTGTTCTCTCTTCTCTCCCTGGGCCGACGGGAGGGGGTAGGGGGGCAGTGGGGGGTGCAGGTGCATTCACACCCCAAAATAAAAAGCGAAACATGATTACGTCACTTTGCCAAGAGCTGCTGCTCTCCCGCAAAATGCGGGTAAGTTTGGCATTGCCCCCTTATGTTAGTACAGCCAGAACAACGTACAGGTACATCATTTTGCCTGTAGATGCCACCCAGCCGCAGTACATTTCAGGCAGGCAGAAAGTGGTGAAGTAACGCCCTTTTCTAATCAACTGTCTGCTGGACACGTTTAATGACTAATTAGACTCACCTGTAGTTAAATTCTTGTTAATTAGGATTTTGTCTAGCGCTACTCCTAAGACTTTCATTGGGGTGTATTCATTGCAACATGGTTGTGAATTTATTAGGGAAAATACTTTTTGTGCAAATAAACAAATCTTGTTTGCAATCAATGGCTCGTATTTGTGGGAGTATTTTGTAGTATAGCATTCCATAGAAAATGTTGATTCTGAAAGGAAAGTAAAGGTTTTCTGACAAATCTGTTGGGGTGTACTCATTTATGCTGAACACAGTTGCAGATCCCAGTCAGCCGTGCCCCAGGACGCAGCAGGGGCCCCAGCCGTGCCCCAGGACGCAGCAGGGGCCCGTCAGCCGTGCCCCAGGACGCAGCAGGGGCCCGTCAGCCGTGCCCCAGGACGCAGCAGGGGCCCGTCAGCCGTGCCCCAGGACGCAGCAGGGGCCCGTCAGCCGTGCCCCAGGACGCAGCAGGGGCCCGTCAGCCGTGCCCCAGGACGCAGCAGGGGCCCGTCAGCCGTGCCCCAGGACGCAGCAGGGGCCCGTCAGCCGTGCCCCAGGACGCAGCAGGGGCCCGTCAGCCGTGCCCCAGGACGCAGCAGGGGCCCGTCAGCCGTGCCCCAGGACGCAGCAGGGGCCCGTCAGCCGTGCCCCAGGACGCAGCAGGGGCCCGTCAGCCGTGCCCCAGGACGCAGCAGGGGCCCGTCAGCCGTGCCCCAGGACGCAGCAGGGGCCCGTCAGCCGTGCCCCAGGACGCAGCAGGGGCCCGTCAGCCGTGCCTACCGCCTCAGGACGCAGCAGGGGCCCGTCAGCCGTGCCTACCGCCTCAGGACGCAGCAGGGGCCCGTCAGCCGTGCCTACCGCCTCAGGACGCAGCAGGGGCCCGTCAGCCGTGCCTACCGCCTCAGGACGCAGCAGGGGCCCGTCAGCCGTGCCTACCGCAGGACGCAGCAGGGGCCCGTCAGCCGTGCCTACCCGCCTCAGGACGCAGCAGGGCCCGTCAGCCGTGCCTACCGCCTCAGGACGCAGCAGGGGCCCGTCAGCCGTGCCTACCGCCTCAGGACGCAGCAGGGGCCCGTCAGCCGTGCCTACCGCCTCAGGACGCAGCAGGGGCCCGTCAGCCGTGCCTACCGCCTCAGGACGCAGCAGGGGCCCGTCAGCCGTGCCTACCGCCTCAGGACGCAGCAGGGGCCCGTCAGCCGTGCCTACCGCCTCAGGACGCAGCAGGGGCCCGTCAGCCGTGCCTACCGCCTCAGGACGCAGCAGGGGCCCGTCAGCCGTGCCTACCGCCTCAGGACGCAGCAGGGGCCCGTCAGCCGTGCCTACCGCCTCAGGACGCAGCAGGGGCCCGTCAGCCGTGCCTACCGCCTCAGGACGCAGCAGGGGCCCGTCAGCCGTGCCTACCGCCTCAGGACGCAGCAGGGGCCCGTCAGCCGTGCCTACCGCCTCAGGACGCAGCAGGGGCCCGTCAGCCGTGCCTACCGCCTCAGGACGCAGCACTGCCCAGTCAGCCGTGCCTACCGCCTCAGGACGCAGCACTGCCCAGTCAGCCGTGCCCCCACCTCAGGACGCAGCACAGCCCAGCCAGCCGTGCCCACCTCAGGACGCAGCACAGCCCAGCCAGCCGTGCCCCCACCTCAGGACGCAGCACAGCCCAGCCAGCCGTGCCCCCACCTCAGGACGCAGCACAGCCCAGCCAGCCGTGCCCCCACCTCAGGACGCAGCACAGCCCAGCCAGCCGTGCCCCCACCTCAGGACGCAGCACAGCCCAGCCAGTCGTGCCCCCACCTCAGGACGCAGCACAGCCCAGCCAGTCGTGCCCCCACCTCAGGACGCAGCACAGCCCAGCCAGTCGTGCCCCCACCTCAGGACGCAGCACAGCCCAGCCAGTCGTGCCCCCACCTCAGGACGCAGCACAGCCCAGCCAGTCGTGCCCCCACCTCAGGACGCAGCACAGCCCAGCCAGTCGTGCCCCCACCTCAGGACGCAGCACAGCCCAGCCAGTCGTGCCCCCACCTCAGGACGCAGCACAGCCCAGCCAGTCGTGCCCCCACCTCAGGACGCAGCACAGCCCAGCCATTAATGCCCCCACCTCAGGACGCAGCACAGCCCAGCCATTAATGCCCCCACCTCAGGACGCAGCACAACCCAGCCAGTCCTGCCCCCACCTCAGGACACAGCAGAGCCCAGCCAGTCGTGCCCCCACCTCAGGACACAGCAGAGCCCAGCCAGTCGTGCCCCCACCTCAGGATATTCCAGAGCCCTGTCAGTCCTCCCACCTTGGTTCTGCCGTTGATCCGGAAGTTGCCCAGCTTGGTTCCGCAGTGGCGGATCAAGTCGTCCATGCTGTTCATCAGGTGTCCGATGGCCTTGCAGCCTGCCTCCTTACCCTCCACCCAGGTGATCTGGTCCCCGCGGATGTCCCGGGAGGAGTCGCTCTTCTGACTTACAAGCTGTCCGTCGGTGAAGCGACCGGTGCTGTGCAGAGCCTTGACCTCCCCCACTATCCGGTCCCCCATCTCCTGGCCCAAGAAGTCGTCCAGCACACAGATGCCGTGCTTGTTCATACAGGGGATGATGTACTCCAGGGCAAGCTTGTGCAGGGGCGGCCTGGTGTGCCCATTAGGCCGTTCTGTGCCCTCCCCTCCCCCCCGGGCCCCGCCGCTTCCGCAAGCCTCCCCAGACTTCTGGGTGTAGTCCTCCTCCTTGATGGCCCTCAAGGTGGCCCCTTCGACCACCACCTCCTTCTGCTTGCTGTCCGGGGAGGCGGCCTTATCCTGCGGCTTGGGGTCAGTGGCCGGCCCGGTGTCCGGGGTTCCTTTACACACCAGCTTGTGCTTCTTCCAGTCTTGTCTCTGGTGCTCCTTGCTGCAGTAGAACGAACTCCGACAGCGGCCGCAGCGCAGCAGGTCCTCCATCTTCCCGCACAGCTCGCAGTACTGCCGGTCACGTTCGCTTTGGCTGCTGCCCTCACAGCCCTGTCCTCCTCCTCCGCCTGCCATGATGGCCACTGCTCGGGGACAGGCACGATTCCGGCTGTTCGGCGAGGTCACTACGTCACCCGGACACCACACCGCACGATCCCAGACACACGTGTGTTCACCTGTCACACATCCAGACCGCACTTATCTGTCATGTCACAGGGCGACGTCCTCGTCCGCCTCGGCATAGGGCTGTGTTATCAAAGCCCGAGTTCCTAACGCCACCGGACCAGACGTTGTTACACCCCCAGGGTATCCTTTGGATTCGGTATAATGATTGGCAACGGCTAATCGCTGACAGGATGCACGATATCATTAGCTGAACGCTGAGCACAGCCTGAACTTCTAATACAGTGCAAGGACCTTTGATGACGTCCGAGTCATGTGATCGGGCTAGACTTAAGTGTGCCACGTGACCCGGCCAGCTTCTTTCGCTGACAGGACAGCCTTTTCTGACACTTTTTTGTTTACATATAAAAATCACTGTCTTTTTGCTAAAAGAATTACTTAGAACCCCCACTTATTTTTTTGCTAGAAAATTACTTAGAACCCCCAAGTATTTTAATTCACAGAAGCACAATATAATACCCATATGCTTGGTAAAATGTAAAAGATGACAAAGAGTAAATAGATACCAAACATGTCACTCTTAAAAATTGTGCACACCCATGCAATGTAAATTTTATTATCCATAGGCTGGTGCTAGAATTACCGCCTTCGTTACTGACATTCTTGGAGATACCTTGCATGTTTGGGACATTCGTTGATTACGCGAGCGGCAGACCAACACATTCATTCGTCTTTGCTCGCAAGCAGGCTGGCACTTTACATTTTGTAATTTTGTTTTTATTTTTTTACAGTGTTGCTTTCATTTTTTGAATGACTTTTAGTGCCACTTCACATATATGCGGATTGGATGCGGTTCAAACTGCATCCAATCCGCATGACATGTGAAAAAAAAACTTTGCTCCCCATGGTGCCTGCTCACATATGTCTGGCGCACTGGCGGTGCAGATTCGGTGTGGTTTGAAAAAGAGTCATGTGCGATTTCTGAGTTCAGGTGCAGATTACAGGCTATTGTCTGCTATGGGAACCATTTCTAAACCACATATGTGTGAACAGGATAAGATCCTGCTAATCCTTTCCTGAACCTGATGTAAACCTGACATGAACCGGCAAACAACTACTGTATCAATTAGCTGTAAAACGAGCTTCAAACCGCACCACACATGTGTAAATCAGCGCTTATTGTTATCACAGGGAATATAAATATCCCCGGTGATAGCAAAAAAATGTGACAGGTAAAGATGTAACATTTCCAGAAATATTGGGGAAAAACGGTTTTTTTTTTCTTGATTTTTTTTTCCAGAAAAAATGGAAATTTTCAGAAAAGTTGAAAAAAATTTAGTGTGGGAGTAGTTTTACATGTTGGAAGTCATTTTGTTACACTGTGTACATGAAATGCAGTGTATATAAAAGTATTATGCATGAAGTAAAAGTAAAAGTTTCTGGAATGAGAACTCTGGAGGGAAAAGCTACTTGCATTTTCATTCTGGTCCTCATCATTTCATTCCATACCCACTTCAGTTCCGGGTCATTTTGGGCAATTTTTGTTTACATTTTAAAATCAGTATTTTTTGCTAGAAAATGTCTTAGAATCCCCAAAAATTATTTCTATTTTTTTTTAAAGCAGAGGCCCTAGAGAATATATAATTTTCAAACGCAATTTTTTGGGAAAAAAAAAAATACACTTTTTAAAATTTATTTATTTATCAGTAGATGGAATAGTACCGTATGCTGTCCTACTAACAGTCAACAGCTAGCCAACAAAACTGACAGAAACAGCGTTGTGTTTCATTCCAAAACTGAATTTATGTCAGTGAATAGTTCTGTAAAACTGCAATACAATTACATAAACTAAAGTTACAATATGCTTGTAGACATGACTCTCACAAATGCCTACAATGAACACATTTCTTGCAAACAGCTACCTACAAATCACATAAAATACATTCAAATACGATCTAGATATATACGTGACTTTAACACAACACAACTGTGATGAACTAGGAGCTCAGAGAGAGGGCACACGGAGACAGACCACATGGAACCCAATGTGGGGGAATTAATTGGGGAGTTTATCGGGGTGCAGACAATAGGACAACTAGTCCACAGAACAACACAAGGCAAAGCAGTACAGTAGGGATCTCAGGATGGCAGTCTGGTCAGTGAAGGAGGATGGCAGGGGGGGGTCCATGGGGTCTGGCCGCAGAACAGGAGCAGGCAGGGGGAGCAACCAAGCACACAGGGCAAAGTCCTTGGCACAAGGTAGCAATTCAGGGACTCACCAGTCAGCAGTGACCTCAGCAGAGGAAGTCTAAGCAGATAGGCACCAACTCCTTACGGGTCTTCGGAGGGCTGTGTGTCCTGGCCGCAGCTTTAAGACCACACAGGCAACAGTTGACGGAAGAGCAGAAGGTAGAACAAAGTCCCAATGTCCAGAAAGCCACGCAGACAATGTAGAACCAGACGTCCCAGCAGTGCAAAAAGCAAAGCACAGTTCAATGCATCTTTTAGCGAGCCCTGTAGCCATGAGCTGCTCTGTCCATCCTGACTCGAGCTCTGCACATTCTGCAAGTTTTTTCCCAGCATAGGGGCATTATATTGTCCTTTCAGTTCTACCAAACCTCAAGCACCCCGGTGCCAACACGTCTGGCTTTACCCAGCTGCAGGACAGCGTGCTGTCTGTGCCTCCTGCTGAGATCAATCTCATCTCCCACCCCCTGCCGGGCACAGGAACTCATAGATTTAATTAAGCAGACTGCTTGACACACTTGTTGATTTCAACAAAACAACACAAAAATAAAATAATATTTCTGATCTCCATCACAACAACAAATGAACTTACAGGCATATGTGTATCAAAGGGAGAAAGGAGGACTGCCAGGGCTGGGCCCAGCTACATAATGAGTAGCTCTTTTCTTTCAGTGCTCAGAAGCTGCTCAGCAGTCGGTTAATTACCAGCCACTCATTGTCTCCACAGTGATTCACCTGGATACTATTACCTATCTCATTAGTCTAGCCTACAGCCAGCCTTTTTTGCTATTTTAGCAGCTTAGCTCAGCTCATGTCCTCCTTGCCCTTGTGTGGTTTATGATTTCCAGTGTGTTCCTGCTTGTGTTCCTGTGTACAACTTGGTTTGGTTGACTTCTCTTCCGATTCCTGTTCCTGCTTTTTGGCTCCTGACTATGCCGACTTCTGGTTTGCTGACCCTGGTTCCCGCCCTGGCATCCAAACCCTGACTTGTTTTTTGACTACTTTCCTGAACTGTTATTTCACTGTTGTGTTCTTCTGGAAGCTAAAGTGGAAGTGCAGTGTTGGATGGAAAATCTTTATTTTTAACAAACATGAGACACTTCCTGTTCTTTATTGATAAAAATACAGAAAGGGTGGAATTGCAGTGAATTCCCAATAAATGGCTCCCTCTAACACAATGATGAAAATACAGAACATGCCCCACCATTGGTGTTAGTGGGAAGAACTGTGCCTTGTTGTTGGTGTCAGTGGAAGTAATGGTGTCTCATTGTTGGTGTCACTTGGAGGAATAATGCTATGTATCAGTGGAATTTTTAGTTCCTTATTTGCCAGATAAGAGCAAGCGAAGGGCAGCATCCAGCCTGTGGGTCATAGTTTGGAGTACACTAACCAAGATAATCCTGCCAGATAGCATATTCAATTCTTCAGCTTCCACAGCTTGATCAAAAACAACAGCTTAGCAGTAGCACATTGATGAAGTCATCCTACTGCCATAACTGTCAACTTTCTGATATATGTGTAGCACTAACCCCTTTGGAGTCGCTGAGTTTTAGGTCCCCCTATAGTCCTGCACAGCCAAGCAATAAGCATTTTCTTTAGACCTTGCACACATGAGACAGTAAACAGTCCTTGAGCTTGGTTTTGTGATTTTATTAAAGGAGTTAATAACTTGGATGAGTTTGAGGGATGCCCAAGGACACTGCAATTTGGGGACAACTCATTAGCAACTATGTACAAGTCCACAGACAAAAATTGTCTTTGAGAGCTCTCCAGCTCTCCTGATGTACAACCTTAGACTGACCCCAGATGAAATCTCTTCACCCAGCTGCCTTAGGGAATCCCTGAGCATGGAGCCCAGAACTGCCATGTTAGCTGAGCAGCTCTAGATGAGGAGCTAGTTAGGTTGGCCAACTGACTCCCTTCTCCCCTTATCTAACCAGCTAAAGTTGAGAGATCCTCCCTTCCAGCTCCTGCCTGCAGATAGGCCACTCTCCTGGGCCCCATCCCAGGCTCCACACTCCAGCCTTTACTCCATCTTCCGCCCAACACTACTCTCTTGCTTATCAGGCTCTCTCATATTTAAGGGCTGTCCTGGCTGTCCCATGCCAAGCTCCTGCTTGGGGATTGGCCAAGATCCCCTAAGTATACAGATCAGCCCCTCCTCACCCCCACCTACTGCCTTCTAGAAACTTCTCAAGTTTCTAGAGCAGGGGGAGGTATCAGGGAACTGATCTGAAGAGCCCTCAGGCCTGAACTAAAAATGACCTGGCTGACTCATCCCAGGCTAATTCAAACCAGGCTGCTATTCAGCCCCTAACTGAAATCCTGTCTAGCTCCCCCTAGCTAAACCTAAGGGGTGCTACATTTGAAAGAGGGTAAAGCAACAGAGCTAATCACTGAAATTGATTAGACTTACACACTTTTGTACACCTGTTGTTAAATTTCTGTACCGACAACTAATGTAATGGTTGAATAATGTCAATATGTTAAAAGCAGCCTCAAAAGACACCAAAGAGAAAAGTAGACATTCCAGGGTAGAGAACATTAAGTTGTCAGATTCTCTTTTTTCTATTTTATGCTAATTTTGTTGAACTATGAAAGAAAAAGAAAAATGAAGTACTAACATCAATTTTGCTGCCATTTTGTTGTCATGAATAGCATCTCTAAATCAATATATTATACGTTTGCATTTCCTGTCTCAACTC